CATGATGCTGCCACCACCAAGCTTCACATCATGAAGCTGCCACCACCGTGCTTCCCAGTGAGGATGGTGTGCATATATAGCTTCTAGTCTGATGATGAACAAACTCCACTTTGGTTTCATCAGACCAAAGAACCTGAATCCTGGACCTCCTTCACTAGTCTCCTTCTTGTAGCTCCTTCAGAGGAGTCATGGGTGTCTTGGTGGTCTCCCTCCCTGGTCCTCTTCTTGCTCGGTCGCTCAGTCTTTGAGGACGTCCTGCTCCAGTCAGATCTACTCATGTTCCATATTCCTTCCATTTCTTAATGATGGATTTAACTGGACTCCAAGAGATCTTCAGTAACTTGGAAATGTTCTTGTATCATCCCCTGACTGATGCTTCTGACCAACCTATCAGTTCTTGAGTGTTCTTCAGTCTTCGTGGCGTGGTTCTATCCAGGAGTTCTGACCCACCAGTGACTGGACCTTCCAGATACACAAGTCTTTATACTACAACCACTGAGACTCATTCATTGACCTCAGATGATCCGTTAAAAAGCTTCCCAGCAGCTCATCACATTGTGCTTTCAGGAAACTCACATGAACACAGTCTAAACCCAGACGATCATTATTTGTGGTTCTGATGCTGGTTAGGCATCATGAGGAACCGAGAGTTGGTTTCTGTTCCTCATGATGCCTGTTGAACCACCTGCAGCCTCGTGGAAGTGCAGCATGACCTCATCACAGCTTAATGTCATTAGTGGAGGCTGAAACCACACAAACATGAAGGTTCAGGTCATCTGCTGTTGCTGCCTCTTCCAGCTGCTCGCTGCAGTTATCGCTGAATGTTTCTCCCTGACCTACATTCTGCGGCAGCGTTCCTCCTCCACCGAGCGTCACGGCCTTCGTCCTCCTCATATCAGCCTTTGTGCTGCTGTTTGTTGACAGCCGGTTTGTTGAGCGTGTTCGGGCTGCCGAGGCAGGAAGCGGACTCCTGACTGAAAAGACGGTTTTAAAAAGATGCGTTCTGTTATTCACTCGTCACGTTTCCTCTCGAACAAAACTCTCAGGTGTTTGTTTGACCGACTGTCCACATGTGAGCTTCACATAAAGAGGCTGTTTGAGCTGCTCT